CCCATCCTCCTGACCCCCACCCTGCAGATATTTAGAGGCATTTCTAAGGTCCCCTCGCAGCCTTTCACTTGAAGCCAGTATTTTTAATATTCGTTAGCTGCTCTCTTTCAGGATCTGTCTCAAGACTGTGTAATTAACTAATTGACTTCAACACTTGCTCTGTCTCCACATCACCCACATCAACCCCAAACCCGCACCGCCCGTAACGCAGCCGCCCGCCCTTCGCCTCCTGCTCGAGTTCTGCCTTCCCCTCCTTCGGGGGAGGATCACCGGGCCACCCACCGTCCAGCTTCTGCTCCTCAAACGCCGACTCCAGCGGGGGCCCGAAGAACAGCGCGGCGGGGTCCTCCACGGCTTTCTTGCTGTGGGGCAGACAAGCACAGAGGAGCCATGAGGTTCAGGTTTGGGCTCACACCTGGTGCCTGAGTCCATGTACGTATATTTTCAGTGAGCGTTTATGTTCTAGACCAACTGGCACTTGGCAAAACCCAGGGTTTCAGGCAGAGAAAAAGGAAAGGAGAGCGGTAGCACCGGCCGTAGCACTACGGTGCAAACCCTGTAGTGCCCACACAGCCACCGAGGCAGCAGGGATTGCTCCAGGATTAGTCAGAGCTACTCCAGACCGCCCGGAAAAGGAATAAAGAAGTCAAAGTATGGACCACGCTCTGGTCCAACGCACCTCGAGTTCGGCCCTGCAGCTGCACAGGGCATGCTCCTGGTGAGATGCGGCTTCACTCCTTGCCAACCAGTCTGTTGGCTGTCCCAAACCAACAGGCACCCACAGCGCACACTTACCAGCTCTCCCTATCCATCAGGCCTCCTCCATGGCCACCTGGGCACCTGCCCTTGCTTCTCATTCATAGAATCATAGAGCAGAATTAGGGTTGGAAAAGACCTTTGAAATCATCAAGTCCAACCATCACCCTAACACCACCATGCCTGCTAAACCATGTCCTGAAGTGCCATATCCACACATTTTTTGAACCCCTCCAGGGATGGGGACTCCCCCACTGCCCTGGGCAGCCTAGTTCAATGTCTGACCACTCTTTCAATGAAGAAATTTTTCCCAATATCCAATCTAAACCTCCCCTGATGCAACTTGAGGCCATTCACTCCCACAGCATCTTGCATCCTCCAGCACGGAGTGTTTACTCAGCTTGTTTAAACACCAAACACAAATGTTCTGCTGCCTCATGAGCCTAAAAAGTTAGAAAAGCAATGTTTCTGCACGGGTGTCTTTGATGAGCCCAACTGGGACAGCTCAGTTAGCTGATGGGTTGGCAGTATCTGTGCAGCAGTAAATCCCCAGTGAATTTGCTGCGTTGTTCCGGGTTTGACCTATCCAGGCATCCATGAAAAAGGATCAAAATCTGGAGGTGAAAACGGATGCTTCCCATGGAGCAACGGTGCAGATGTGCAATTGCCCACTGAAATGTTGAAAACACACATCAGGATCATAGAATCCTAGAATGGTTTGGGTGGGAAGGGACCTTTAAAGGCCACCCAGTCCAGCCCCCCCTGCCATGGGCAGGGCCAGCTTCAACTGGGTCAGGCTGCTCCCAGCCCAGTCCAACCTGGCCTTGAACCCTGTCGGGGATGGGGCATCAACCACTGCTCTGGGCAACCTGGGCCAGGGTTCCACCACCCTCATGGTGGAAAATTTCTTCTGTATATGCAGTCTGTATCTCCCCTCTTTCTGCTTGAAGCCATCACCCCGTGTCCCATCACCCCATGCCCTTGTCACGGCCCCTCTCCAACTCTCTTGCAGCCCCTCCAGGCACTGGCAGCTGCTCTAAGGTCACCCCGGAGCCTTCTCCTCCCCAGACTGAGCAGCCCCAGCTCTCCCAGCCTCTCCTCCCAGCAGAGGGGTTCCAGTCCTTGGATCATTGCTGGGGCCTCCTCTGGCCCCGCTCCACCAGCTCCAGCTCTGTCCCGTGCTGGGCGCTCCAGAGCTGGACCGCAGTGGGGTCTCAAAGGACCTCAGGACGCTGTGCCCGCATGTATCTGTGTTGGGCAATCACACCCACGGACTCCACACTGACCTGGCAGGGTCTGGCGTCGGCGTGGAGCGCCGGGGCCGAGCGATCTCCTCACCTGCGGCACAGGACAGACAGCGTGGGGTTAGAGCCGGTCCCCATCCACCCCCCGAGCATCACCCCAGCCCACCCGGACCCCGTGTTGGCGGGAGGGCTCAGACCGGGAGTGCCACCGGCACAGTATGTGTCCCATCCCACGCCTCCTGTGGAGATGCTGGCAGTAAGGGGTCTGGTTTATCAATCCAGATTTTGTTTCTGTAGAGAGCTAGGCTAGGGAGCTGCGCTGCTTCTAGAGGGTACCCCGAGGATGTCCCATACCACCTTCTTTAAGGAAGGTTTTTGGGCACCAGAACCACTTTAAAGCAAATCTAACCTCCTCCATTTTCTTTTTTTTCCATTCCCTCCCCAAAGTGCCCCTGCATTGCCATCATTACTGCTCTCAAAGGCTGCAGGACATACTTACTGGATAAATTCCTTTTAATCGTCCCCTGGAATTAGAAACGCAGGAGGTGAGCGGGATGCACAGGGACACGCGGAGGGACGGAGCGGAGCCGAGCAGCCGTGCCAGGAATTGCCTATCTGCAGTGGTATTCACTGCACGCTGCTGAAATACTCCCGGCTTCCCGTGTGCGTTGCGAAACCCCGTTTGCTCCCAGCGTCTGGGGCACGGAAAAACCCCCACCGAGATGATTCGGAGCCACGTAAAGCCCTCGCCTGGCAGCGCTGCCTTCGCAGCCGTCCCGACTGCTTACAGGGCACCGACATCCTCACCCCGGCGTCAAACCCAGAATCCTCACGTTTGACGGCTGCAAAATGATCTACGCCAAATAATGTCACCTTAGCCACCGAAATCCTGTCCCTCCCCACACAACACACACATCCCCCCCGCAGAAAACCGAACCCTGCCAGCCCGTGGGAGCCGGGGCTGGGTGGCAGAGCAAGCAGGGGCTGGGGGGGCTGGCAGGGACGCGGGGCAAGCCGGGGGGGGTGCATGCCCCGCACCGGGGGCCCCCTCGTGGCG